AGTCTTTTATTTAATGCTCCAACTTCTCACATTTCCAGTAATTCGATGACACAGTCCCTGATAGATCTTGTGACATATAACTGTAACAAGCCCGCGGGGGGACCTCGCTACAGCTCGGACTCGACTTTTTGTTGTCACGGTTCTAAGTCTGAACCAAAGAGTCCAAATCCGGCAAATCGTTTTTGAGAAAACCTCCCACCCTTCAGTGACCTCTCCAGTGATAAAACAGAGGTACCTGCCAAAAATGAACGAAAATCGTTGCAAAACGAATGCTCCGGGGCCAAAACACGCAGTTCGGGGTCCCGAAAATGGGCTGTTAAGCACCGAAAGTGGCATTCGGCCACGAAGTGGGTTTCTCAAACCCCAGTGTCCCTCAAAAGGGAACAAATAGGAAGTATGCCAAAAATTAGAGCAATAGGGGATGGTTAAGCGGTCCCGAACAGAGGCACACGGCCTGACGGCTCCGAAAACCGGGAACCGGACTCCGAAATGGGAAAAATGGCCTACGGCCACCAAATGTAGCCTACGAACATTGAGAGATGGTCTACAGTACCTCTCCCACCCCTCAGGAAAAGAAACAGAGAAAACCGAGTCTGGTTCGCAAACCGAGTCTGGTTCGCAAACCGAGACAAGGCACAGAAGAGGGTTCGGTTTCTCTTAGGTTTTGGGATAGTCTTTTATTTAATGCTCCAACTTCTCACATTTCCAGTAATTCGATGACACAGTCCCTGATAGATCTTGTGACATATAACATACTAGGATAGCTTACTTCTCTTACAACCTTACCTGGAATTGCTCGTCTTTCCCGCCACAAAATTCTGAGTTTTCTCCCTTGGTTCACTTTTCACTTCCACACTTAATTCTCCCTTTTGATCTTGCTATGTGCGGTAGGATTCACAGCTTTCACTACGTTCTCTAGCACTTCTTTTACTTAACCTCAACACTCTGATAAAGACTCAATTTCCACTTCATTCATACTTTTCACCACCTCCTCCTATTGACAGAAGGGAAGGGTTAAACACAAGAAAATGGTTGACAATACTAGGGTTGATTCAATGACTTAAACTATATTACCAAGCACATATCATATAAAAGTAGACATACACACATAGACATATAAGGACGCTGGTAGGGTGACCTATTCATTCCCAAGGAATTTACCAAGAATTTCTGATTCAAAGTACGCTGGCCAAACGTGATTCCAATCAGACTTTCAAGGTCATTCTACAAAGGCATGAGACTCTACGGTTTACTATTCCACATAATAGGTTCCCACTAACATGTACCATCTTACATATCAAATGATTTTTCTCGTCCTCAATCACCATAGTTCCACGCATCTCGTTGATCATCAAATTCCTCAATTTTCCAAGTATTCTCATAGTCCAGTTTAACATATAATGCATATAGCTTCCATGACCTTCATTGAAGATTCTAATTTTGCATAATACTATGTTTCCACAAATCAACATGCCTATTCTCACCAATGCTTTATTCAAACTCTTGATTCCCTTATAACATTAGACATTTCACAACATTTCTTAGCTTTTAGCCTCATCCCTAAGCTTGTTAAACACATTCGAGTTTCCCTTACAACCATCGCAATTCCTTGACAGCTCATAAAACTTAGCTTCAACACCTAAACATATCACACAAATGTGAATACATAATCCTGAATGCACAATTAACTACTTATTTCCCAAATGCATGAAACTTAAATTTGTTCTAGACATTCCAATGCTCAATGGACATGTGTGTAAGGTATTATCTCGTGCTTTGATACCAATCTGTCGCGACCCAAACCCGTCCTTATAGGTTTAGCATCATAATCGGCCAGTAATCCTTGGACTACCGAAGGCCTTTGAACAAATTAACAAGATTAAGGGGCTAGTAGAAGCAAATACATAAATATAATTGTCCAATGAGCTGTGCTGACTTATATGAAACGAGATATTTGAAAACTTTATATACATAAATCAAAGTCATTCATATATTATACCCACACACATTACAGTATTTTAAGTCTAGCCAACAGAATTAAAACAAGTCATACGTATACATAGAACCAACAGAACTTGAACACAGGACACTTTGGAAACCTCCACGTGAGGCACAATGGTTGGCTGACAACAGGACACAGATCCAGACAAATGCCTTCAGGCTCGGGCTCCAGAATGCTCACCTATACATATATATACACACAATGAGCTAAAGCCCAATGAATAACATTAAGGTAACGGGGTTAGTGAACGAAATCCGAACATATCATAAGCGGAAAACAGATCATAGCATAGTCATTTCCATATCAGGACATAATAATGGTACATCCCATAGAACACGTCATAGAACGTCTTCCGACTAGAGTAATCAGTTCCGGATACCAATTAAACACATATCACCACAATAAAGTGGCTAACGAGATCTCGTAAACACATGAATGTCATGGACCCGCATTTCCATGCCGTCCTCCATGACTTGGGACTATCTATGGATGCCATAATAGATTTCAAATACGGAATATTCATTCACGAAAACAGATATCATTTCAGGCAACATAGCTTATCACATTTCATTTGGAACATAATTCATATAAACGTATCTTTACGATAACGTTACTCACAGTGGTTCCAGGAAGCGGTCAATCAATCCTTGAGTCTTGACCTACAATCACAAAATTCATAACACAAGCACGTCTTATCATTACACATACAAGTGGCCAGTAAGGCTTAGCTTTCACTACATTGATTCTTGTTCTTCCTTAACACATTGCTCTAAACACACTCTTGAATCTCATAACTTAGTACATTCTTTTCTTAGTGTGTTTCTAACCCATAACCTCATTACTATGGCTTAATTAAGGCTTAGGAATGCCTAAGATGCAACGAGGATGCCAAAACATGCCTTGGAACATTTAGGCAAAATTTCTGAAAATAAAGTCCACGCTCGAGCATAGCTTTCCTCGCTCAAGCAGACATGCAAAATGTGAATTGCCGCTCGAGCGCACATTCCTTTGCTCGAGCGATTTGCAAAAGACATGAAACTTCTGGGAGCTTGCAATTCACGCTCGAGCGGACTTTTGGTCGCTCGAGCGGAGTGCACGCAATCAGACTGGTCGCTCGAGCGTAGATGCAAATTCAGGAATTTCCAAATTGCACCTTCAAGCTCAAAACTCGAATTCCAACCTTCAAAACACATCTCTTGGGCTCCAAAACTTGAGATAACATAGTAAACTTGTAGAACATGAAGAATTTAGGATCATTTCATAAAATCATGGCCCAAGAGTTTGTTAAAAACTCACAATTTCAACTTAAAACATGATGAATGTTCATGAACACAACATGCATATAAAATCTTTTCTTCAAACCTCATGAAACTAGCAAATTGAGCTCATAAGCTCCATACATTTAAGAACTTCTTCCCAAACATGATTTTAAGTGAAGGAACATGATAATTCAGACATAGATGATATGAATCATGCTCTAAATGATGAAATTAAACTAAACTAAGCATGCATGTATAAATTAGCTCTAAATACATCATCCTTGGTCCAATTCTTGTACATAATCACAAATTCTTCTTGAAATAATCTACTTGATGGTTAAAAGTCATAATTAAGTCTAAAATCCTTACCTAGAGTCTTGAATTACTCTTGTTCTAGCACAACCTTTGATCAATTCAAGCTATAGCCTTCAATTTCTCTTTAATCTCTCCCTTTCTCTCTCTAGAATTGTACTCTATCTCTCTTTCTAAGATGAATTCTCAGATTTGTGCACTAAGGGAGATGAAAGAAAATGAGCTCAAATGAGCTTAAGGGCTCATATAGATAGTTATGAGGCTAAAATCCTTTAATTAAAACATAAGACCTGCCAAACGAAACTTAATGAATCGTTCTGAATCAATTTTTAATAAAACTTGCCATATGGTTCTAAAAATTCCAAATAACATAGTGGTGGAGTCAATTTTGGTTTCGGATGCCGATAAGGCTTTCAATTTACATATTAAAGCGGAATTCCAAACAGATATTTCTCCAAGTAACAGATAGTAAGCCAAATATCATGCAAATCACATAATAAACCCATAATTTATTTTATTCACTTAATTAACATCATTAATTACCAATTAGTGGCTAATTGTGGATCGGGGTTATTACATAAAGCTTCTTTCCTATCTCAGTCTCTTCAAGCTTCTTCTTGTCATCTTGCTCACACTCCTCCAGTGGATCTTACTGTTACTGAGCCTCAGACTACTTCTCAAGCTTTAACCTCTCCTCTTTGGCTTACTTCTATGAATGTAGAATTTCAGGCTTTACATAAACAAGGTACTTGGACTCTTGTTCCTCCTTGTTCTACCAAACTTGCTATTGGTTGTAAGTGTGTGTTTCGTATTAAAAAGAATTCTGATGGCAACATTGCTCGTTACAAGGCTTGCTAAGGGGTATTTGCAACAAGAAGGTGTAGATTATGATGAAACCTTTAGTCTTGTTGCTAAGCAGGCCACTATCAGCATTCTCTTGAGTCTTGCTCTTCAAAATTAGTGGCCTCTCAAACAGTTGGACATCTCCAATGCAGTTTTACATGGCAAGTTGGATGAAGAAGTCTATATGGTGCAACCTCAGGACTTTGTTGATTCCCAATTTCCTCATCATGTGTGCAAACTGCACAAAGCTTTGTATGGCCTCAAGCAAGCTCCTCGGGTTTAGTATTCAACCTTCTCCTCTTTCTTACTTACTCAAGGTTTTAGTCACAGTCATTCTAATCCTTCTCTCTTTGTAAAAAAGACATCTACTAGTATCATTATTCTTCTCATCTATGTTGATGATATTTTACTTACAAGTAGTGATCCTCGGTTGATTCAAGCTTTACTTGCTCAAATGCATGTGGCATTTTCCATGAAGGAACTAGGAGATGTCTCCTAATTTTGGGATCTCAGTCTAGTCCCATTCCACCGGTTATTTTTTATCTCAGCATAAGTATGCTCAAGAGCTACTCTCTAAAGCTGGCATGGTTCATTGTAAGCCTTGCTCCACACCAATTGCTCACAAGTCTTCTGCTGTTCCTTCCTCCATTGATGTGCTTCCTTATGCTCAACCTTCCTTTTATAGAAGCATTGTTGGTGCTTTACAGTACTTAACCATTACTCGACCTGACATTGCCTTTGCAATCAATCAGGCCTGTCAGCATATGCAAGCCCCAACCAATGCTCATTTTGCCCTGGTTAAACGCCTGTTGCAATATATTCAAGGCACTGTTTCTCATGGTCTTACTTTCAGACAATGGGTCTTATGACCTCCATGCCTTCACTGACTCTAATTGGGTAGGAGACTGCACAGATAGAAGGTCCACTTCAAGTTTTTGCAATTATCTTGGCTCTAATCTTATCTATTGGTTTGCTAAAAAACAACACACAGTCTCCAGATCTTCCACTGAAACTGAATATAGGTCTATGGTTGACACTACTGCAGAAATTTGTTGGATTCAACAATTGCTCAAAGATTTATCTGTTCCTTCTTTCTCAGTGCCTGTGTTATGGTGTGACAATGTCTCTGCCATGGCCTTAGCCTTTAATCCATTGTTTCACTCTAAGACTATGTAGCAGCCACCACTACAGCATAAACTACAGCATATGAAGGCATTGCAGTCTCAGCCACTACATGTGACATTGCAGTCTTAGCAGTTGAAGCCTCAACTTAGTGTATCGAATATAGCTGCAAAGAGATACAAATATCAGAGTTGTAGTAGTGGTGGTTAGGATGGTTAGGATGTAGGAGTCAGTTAGTTTGTTATAACAAACTTCTAAACAACTCTTGTATCTAGTATAAATAAGAGTATGACAGAGTGTAAAGTTTTTCATCAAGAATAAAAGATCTTTTCTTATTTCTTGTTAGGATGCACCATTGTAAGTACTCTCTCTCTCTCTCTAGTGCAATCACCATATCAACTAACTTCTTGTACATTTTTTACACAGATGAAATCAATAACAAGCCACGGCTGGCTTTAGTTGACTTGCACTTAATGTTCAATTTTTGTGCACCTCTGGTATTTATCTCTTTTTGACTGAATTTTGGTCCAGAAGCAAATGGGTTGGCAACATTTGGGGATTCTATTTGAATCCAAAATATATTTTAGAATGCCTAATTTAAATTCATATATTTAAATTCTTATTATATCTTAATATAAATTTACTAATAAGGACAACACATATTAAATCCTAAAATATTTTTTTTTTCTCGTGGTACACCCTAATCAGTTATTTCTATTCAAATCTCTGTATCTTCTTCCCCAAGAGTTCAAAGTTATTTCTTCTTCTTCTTCTTCTTCTTCTTCTCCCTCTAAAACTGCAATCCACCCTACCAAAACCAACCATCATCATCGACGTCATTGTCTTTTATTATTTTGAAACCCTAAACCTTAAAAGAAAGTTTGAACAAAATCAAATAATGAATGAGGGTAATAATCAAAATAGTTTTTTGAAGTAACTCATCAAAAAGGTGGTAAGTATTCATATAAAAGGGTTTCATAATTATTGTAGAGCATCATCAATTATTTTCTATATCATTTTTTTTGGACAAAAATTAAAGGGCCTAGTAGTTAGATTAACAATAACATATTATTAGAGTTGTTCTTATTTTGTCATTTAAATCGCACATTATTTGAGAACTACTCTTTCTTGTTAGTGCCTGATACTTATGTGCTAATAAGTTTGGTGTTTTACTTTTCCACAAGCATTCTTGTAGATAATTTATAATGTAAAAGTTTTTTTTTCTTTCTCTTTTTTCTGTATTGAAAAGTTTTATAATGCTTATATAAAGTTTGGTTTTTTCTGTATTTATAATGCTTATGTGCTTATAAGTTTGCTTTTTTTTCCCCCTCTATTGGAGAATTATTTTTTGTATTAAAAAGTTTTTGAAATAATTTTGTTTTTTTAATTTGTTTATTATTTATTATTTGGGTTTACCTTGAGGGTAATTTGGAAAAAATAATGAAGTGTAATGAGAGTAAAATAAAATTTTAAATAATTAAACAAGGTGTACTTAGAAATTAGGAGTACGTAATAATTTTTTGGGTGTAAATAGAATCCCCGAACATTTACTCAGACAATGATGGGCCCATTTTATTATAATCCAATTACAATACAACATCTCAATCAATTTTTGACAAAAAAAATTCAGACTTTCAATGATTTGCTATTGATTAATGACAAACTAGTTGAATTAGTTATCGAGATTAGCTCAGTGGTTATAACCTTGTACGGGTTTGACTCTCCCTACCTTCCAATGTACCTAAAAAATAGAAAAAAAAGAAAAAGACATAACTAGTTAAAATATCAATCTTAGTTTACCTCCAATTTGTAGTTCAAAACTTCGACACATAGAACAATATTAGGATGCCAATTAAGTAAACCGTTATTAAGTTTGGGAGGTCTTTTTGGGCAATGTTTGAGAGCCGAATTTCCAAGACTTTTTATGTTGACTTCGAAGAAGGAGGAATCTCTGAGAATGGTATTCGATAGAAGATGCAGTGTAGGAGAGTGGGTGTAGACACCCCATTTTTGACCATCCTCAAGACTTGGATGTGCTTGCAGGTACATCCGATGACAAGTTTGATCGCTCGTCGAGTGCTCAACTTTCGCAACAGAATGCTCCTGGTTTGATCCTTCCAGACCCTATTTCCATTATGTCTCATTTTTGGACCATGCTTTGGTCCCTCCATATTGTTGTTCATAATGGCCTGCCAGCAATGGAAGAGGGTTGTCGGCCATGGGCTTTGCCCTACCTGCCATCAGAGAGGCCTTGCCGGCCAACAATGAGGCCCTGCCGGCCACCACTGATGGCCGGCAGGAGACCTTGTTTCAGCATATATTATTTTAGATCTTTTGAGCCAACTATTTCTCACTGAGCCATCCTCCAAACATGTGTATGGATGGATGGAGGCAAGTTTAAGCTTGTCAAGCAAGCTTTGGATTGCATTTTTCTATATAAGGAGAGGCCCCTCTCCCTTTCCAGAGGTTTTGAAATTTTAGAGCTGAAAATCTCCCTCTCTCTAGACTTCTCACTCTCTCTCTATATTGTGCTATTTTGAGCCTTAAGGGTGTGTTTTCTTCTTACTTTTGCACACAAAAACCTTGTCAAACACTCTACCTTGTTGCTGAGGCTCTTGGATGAGTGATTTGAGCTTTCAAAGCTTGTTTTTTTTTTTTTGGCCTCAAAAGTGCCTGTTTCGCTGTGGTTCTTCAAGGGTGAGTAGTTACCTTCTTTAAGCTTTGTTTTGCTTAAGTATTTGGCCAGGCCTAGCTTTCAACTACAAAAATGATTTGAGCTTTCAAAGCTTGTTTTTTTTTTTTTGGCCTCAAAAGTGCCTGTTTCGCTGTGGTTCTTCAAGGGTGAGTAGTTACCTTCTTTAAGCTTTGTTTTGCTTAAGTATTTGGCCACCTTTGCATGCTGTTTTAGGCCTAGCTTTCAACTACAAAAAACTTTGTTTTTAAGTGTTTAAAATGGTTGTTTGAGGCCTTGTTTGAGTTAGGGGTGGTCTACCCCCTTTGGTGGCTTGTTTTGCTTTGCTTTGTACCATCTCCTAAGACCTTTGAGATCATCTTTGTTTGGCCTTTTAACCAATGAAATCCAATGGATTTTCCGTGATAGAAATGTGGTTTTGAGGTCCCAAAAAGGAGGGGGTGGTCCCCTGTCCTCATGTCTTGCTTGCTTGCCTTGTTGGCCTAATTAATGAGCATGTGTTTCTAATTTCCATACTCCCCATTATAGTAAAAGATGAGATCGATTTTGATGCCTTTATTAAGGCAATGTCAGGTCCTTCAATTTCCCAAGTTGACATGTTGCTTAGGTTAATATACTTTGGTTTCCTATTTAGTTTTGACTCGAAGGATGAATTTAAGTGGATAAAGAAATATAGATTGAGCGAATGTGTTCGTAGTTTGGTTTATAGTTACACTCAAGTGATCTTGATTCAATTTCTGTATTTGGTAGAACGGTTTCTAGGCCTCATGTTGGATTTTCTCATAGGGAATCCCTGGAAAAATGTTCGGAATATGTTAGGAGATGGCTATCAGATTCACTTGATTTAATTTCTGAGGGCTCCCCTACATGTAAGCTAATACAAGTACTAATTTTATATTATACTGACTTTTCCAAAATTTTATGTGGTACTTAATCTGTCTTATCATGTGTATCTTGTGTAGATTTATTGTTGAAGGATCATGTTAGGATGATTGTTGGATTAGACTATTTTATTACCTTGCCTCATCCTCCAATTCACATTGAGTATCAACAACAAGTGTATGTTTTTTTCTACCATAAAATTCATCACTGTCATTTTTTTATAATTTGTTTTGTAGCATAAAAGATAATTATGCAACTTATGTATAATAGCGAATCAAACTGATAAATCCTTCGAGATGCTTCAAGATCATATCTTCATTTACTTCCCATAATTGATTTTTTTTTTTTTTTTTTTTTTTTTTGTGTTGTGGTGTGTGTGTGTAAATAATGTCAATGTCGTTATCTGTAAATAGGACTTATTGGTTCAAAAACTTTTAGACAGGATCTAAACTACTGCAAAATATGTAGATAGGACTTTTAGGTAATTAATCCATGTTTAAAACATGAACGTTTTGAATATCTTCAATTTGGACCATTCATTGAATCCCTCATTTCAAGCACTGAGATTGCTTAAAACTTGCACTACAGGAAATTTAGAATCGTTGGTTTTATTGCATTTCTTGGGTAAATACAATAAAATCATCCCAAAACCCTGCCAAACGCTCTCTGTTAACTTTTTGGATTTTGAAAGTTTTCATTTTAGAGAGTTATGTCTTTCTCAAAAATATTGAGGGAAAGATATAAAATGCATATGAATGAATATAAGAAATTGTGAATGCAACCTTCAAACACATCAGAGAAAACAAAGAAGGACATTTTGAAAAATGAGATTTTAATGTCATACTCCCTATTGCAGTAAAAGATGAGATCGATTTGATGCCTCTACTAAGGCAATGCCAGGGCATTCAATTTCCCAGGTTGAGATGTTTCTTAGGTTAATATACTTTGGTTTCCTATTTAGTTTTGACTCGAAAGATGAATTTAAGTGGATGCGGAAATATAGATTGACCAAACGTATTCGTAGTTTGTTTTATAGTTACAAGTTGAACCCGAGTGATCTCGACTCAATTTCTATATTTGGTAGAATGGTTTATAGGCCTTATGTTTGATTTTCTCATAGAGAATCCCTAGAAAAATGCTCTGAATATGCTAGAAGATGACTATCAGATTCGCTTAATTTCATTTCTGAGGGCACCCTTACATCTAAGCTAACACAAGTACTAATTTTATATTATACTGGCTTTTCCAAAATTTTATGTGGTACTTACTGTGTCTTATCTTGGTTATTTGGTGTAGATTCATTGTTGAGGGATCATGTTAGGATAATGGTCGGGTAGACTATTTCACTACCACGCCTCATCCTCCAACTCACATTGAAATCAGCAACAAGTGTGTGCCTTTTTCTACCATAAAATTCACCACTATCATTTTTTTATAATTTGTTTTGGAGCATAAAAGATAATTACGAGAAATCTGTCGA